TGCAAATGACCTCAACTAAGCTTCTCTTGAACCTGAATGATGTTTACCATGCCTTGATAATCATCCAAGCTTCGATTTGCTTGTTGTATGTTGTTTTCAACCCCGATCTGCTCAATAAGGTCATTTAAAGCTTCACGCATCTTCTTAGCTCTAGCTCGTGTGACTGGACCTCCTTGGGTGTGTAATGGATTACATGACGTAGTAGATATGCTGTCGTCTTGATTCCCATCAACCAATCATTAGAATATCAAAATACAACAAAGAGAAAAGAAAAGAAAAATCTAAGGTGGAAATTTTAGGAAAAAGGCAAATCTGTTTTTGGAAGGAGGGATCCCACCCACGAGACCAGGTTCTGTTCATTACCCTCACAACCTTCTCACAAAACCCCTCTATTTCAGAAGATTACCTAAATTCTGTTGGTGACCACTTAAATTTCCAAATTAAAGAAGAATGATGAAAAATTAAGTGTGAGAAATATAGAAAGGACTTGCTACTTGTCCAAATTGTGACATGGAACAAGTCACCTAAAACATGTCTACGTAGAGATTGGGTTTGGGGGTTCGGTTAGGAATGAAGAAGGGTATACGCGCACCTCCCAATCCTTTGTGTAAATACCATTGCATACTTTGACATTTGAGTTTTAATTCAACTTGAAAATGAAATGGACAAAATGTGACATTTGAAAGACTTTTGGGCTAGATCGTATAAAATTAAAATCATGCATGCATAATTGCAAGAAACAAAGTGTTAAAAGGACTAATTTGATAAAAATTATAATTTTATTAAAGGATTGATTTGAATTTATTTGAAAGCAAATGGACTGAATTATTCAATCATAAAAGTTTTGGGTGAAATCAAGATGAAAGAAAGGTAATTTTTTTACTTTTAAAATTTTGACTTAGATTAAAAAAGGTAAACAAATGAACATCAATTGATCGTCATAATTAATTTAATTAGATGATTGGTTTAATATTAATTAAAATTATTTAAAATTTATTAAACTTATTTAAAATTAATTAATTATATTTATTAGCTTTTAATTAAAACAATTAGTCAAATTTAATTAAGATAATTAGACAAATCTAATTACTTTAATTAAAACCAATAAATATAATTAATTTATCCTAATTAAATTTAATTAATATCATTAATCACATATTAAATCGATTCTCATACTTAATTTGCTATTATTTATTTATTTTTAGTTATTTTTTTAGTATTTAAACCAATACGGAAGGGTCGGATAACTCAATCCAAAAACATGACTTGATTGAAAAAATGGGCAAAAGCAGATCAAACATATGAAGATATAATAAGAAAATTAGGGTTCATTTGGCTCAAGCAACTATTTTCGCAGAATATAAACTTTCAATTCAAAATCCAAAAAACAATCATGGCATAACAAGCAACAAATCTAACAATTTACTAAATATAATTCAATTGTCAACAATCTCATACAAATTTCAACACCGATCATCAGAATATCATAGTACAACAAAGAGAAAAGAAAAAGAAAAATCCAAGGTGGAAATTTCAAGAAACTGGATGAGAACCCCAAAGAGAACAATGAGACCCACAGCACGACAAGG